CCCCATCACCAACTTTATCATAAATCACAGGGATCTCGTTATCAGCCTCGTTGTCGGTCAAGATTTACAGAGGACAGCTCGACTGAGCTTCCGAATAGCTAATAGTCAGATGGAGAATATTTTTAAAAGAGAGAGAGAGAAGAAGAAGAAATTGTAGGTGAGAGAAGGACACACTTGAGTCATATATTGGCCTGAGAACGGTTGACGCTGCAAATGATAATTCGGCCGATGACCACGATAAACAAAAAAACAAAGTATACAGATGGTGTTCTAACAAAGTGAGAATCCGGAGATTGAAGGGATAGTAACGGAAATGAAGGAGATGTAAGATGAGGGGGTTCAGTTGCCGTTGGTTACATTCAAACACAGTGCTGCAATGATTTGTAGCAACGGGAGCTATGCCCAGGGCGATCAGGGCTACATAGAGGGAATGACGGAGAAATAAAGAGAGAAGAGAGAAAAGGAAAAAGGACTGAATAGCATAGACTAGAAGGAGAGGTCAAGGGAGAAGGAGGTCGAAGAAGGGGTTGTCGTTGTTGGTTCGCCGTCTCTGCCGAGAGCTCCAAGATGATCAATAGTGTTTTTTCTCCCCTCTTTCGAAATAAGAAAGGATAGTTTACATTAGTGCGCGGTGGCAATTCTATAAATTTTTAAAAGTTTGGGGCATCTTTGTGATTTCACAGAAACTAGGTATTTTGGTTCAACCAGGTGTAAGGGGGTCAAACCGGGTTTCACAGGTCGAAAGGGTCAAACCAGGTGTACGGGGCATCTTTGTATTTTGGTTGTTTTGGAAGGATCGGAAGGGTTTGATTAAGCATTTGGGGTGAGTTGGAGGTTCAGGCAATGGACTGAGCAAAAATCGGGTGTTGTCAGTCGTGTTGGAGGGGACCCACTATAAAGAACTTCGAGACTGAGAACCTTGAGACCTTGCATCTGACGCGTTCGATTGATAGGAGGGATTCGATGTAGAAGAAGATAGATACTTATTATCGTCCATCAACTCATCCCTCCCCCCAATCACATGAGTACTTAAAGGGTCCCTTGGCCCATTTATCCTAGATTGAGCCTTGGGCTCGAACCTTTTAAATTGAGCACACAAATTAGTGGACTTTGCTTGGGCTGCCTTTTCTAGCCCACCAAGAATGGAATCCACTCGAATAGGCCCACCTCCTAAATCTTTTCCTCCCACGTGACTTTTTAAGAGGTCATGCCCCCTGTTTTAAAAGTTGAACCAGCTACCTTCCCTTTTGAACTAGTCTGAAGTTGTTGGTTCAACCCCTCCCCCCCCCTTTACCCACCTGAAAATTTGTCTTTTCCCTTGAAGCCACCTACGCATATGATCTGCCAATTGTCAAAGGGTTTCCTTGCTCTCTATGTGTTTGACCTTCCATCTGCCCTAAATTTTTTTGGCTTCCCAAAATTTGTTGGCCCTTTTTAGTGAAACATTCCTTCCCATTTGATCTAGCCAATCTCATAAATCCACATAGAGCTTCTTCTTCCTCCTTTTCACCTCCTTCCATGTGAGCCTCCTTCCACAGCCCTGCTTCAATGGAGGATGCCAGCCACATAGAGAAGAAACTCCCCCTATTCGTACCTCTACCTTTTGTGGAATATCTTCTGGCTTTACACCACTTAGCAAAATAGCTGCTGAATAAAGATCACCCCAAAATGCTCCTTCTAAGCGTCCTCCACACAATAATGCTATAGATTATGCTACTTGTTTCCACAAATGAAATGGCAGGCCTATTACATGCACCACCACACCATCTTCGACAAAGAAAGTCCTTGGAGTTAGATGTTGGACTCCATTTGAAGACTATGAATGATCCAAACTCAACCTGAACATTGAGAGTTTATATTTCCATTTCATTTTCTAATGGATCTAAGAGGGCTTTACAATTATCGAAGGGGGTTACTATGAAGACTCTTTTCAGCTTTAGACTAGTTGTTAGTAAATCAGCTACCCTCCTCCAACCATTAACATGTTCCTTGGTTTGTATCATAAATTTACTGGCCCAATCTTTTCTCTCTAGACCACCCACCATTTTGCATTGGCTTTTTGTTTTTGCCATGACCACTGGCTCTTGTTCTACCTTGTTGTTGCTCTGGTATGCCTTCTCCCTTGTGAAAGCTTCTTTTTCATTTGATACTCTTTGAGCAACCTGTAACTTCCCCATCCTTGGCTCTATTTTCCTACTGGTAGATACACCAATTGCCTTCGTCCCTTGCCAAAATATTCAGCCAAAGCTATGAAGGAGCCTTTTCTATTCCTCTTACATTCAACTACATATCTTCTCCCTTCTAATGTACCAAGTTCCCGCTAGTTTATCTGCTTGCCTTTTGAGCAGGCTTCAACTATGAAATCTCTTAGTCACTCAACAACTTCTAATCCTTCTAGCAATATTTTACCCTTTTTCACTTCCCTTACCTTCAGACTTACCTTCCCCTTGATTCTCATCTCTTCGATCAGAATATTTTTTGCTTCTACCTTCAAGGATCTCCTCTACCGATCTGCTTGCACAAACTCCATTTCTACACCCAACCAACCATTCCTCCAATCACTTGGTTTCCTTCTAAACATAGGGCACCAAACTATTGAATCTCCTAAAAAAAGACCTTTGTATATCTTCCCCTAACTCCTTTGTATATCTTCCCCTAACTGTTGTGTTTTTGTGCAAGTCTAATGGGGAGAACTATTACCACTTACTATTCTCCTGCCCCTTTGCTGCAAATATCTGGGAAAGGTTTTTTTTTCTTTGTTTGGGCGCAGGTGGGGAATTTGCAAACCGAGGTGGAAAATTCCGCCACTTACTTGATTCTGCTCCTTTGCTTAGGCCAAGCGAAAGTAGAAGGGCTGATTACACCCAATTTCTTTGCTAAGATATAAGAACTTGTTCCTACCACCTGAGTTTCAATCCGAATATTCTTTAAAAAAGGTACTAAGGATGTGTTTGGTTCGAGGAAATAGAAGCCTGGAATCAGAATTGGAATGGCCCATTCCGATTCTTGCCATTTGGTTGAGCAGAATGGGAATCCCATTCCCGAACGCTCCCTAGGGGATGCGATTCCCATTCCTGTCCATTTATTTTATTTTATTTTATTTTATTTTATTTTTTGACATAAAAACCCATGTTCAATTCCAACCCTTTGTTCTAAAATTTGAAGACTATAATCAATTCCTTCGACTTCCATATTAGTTACCGCCATCACCGACCCCATCCCCGACAAAGCCGCTACCGACCAACTCCATCTACGGTGAGGTAAGACCGTCGCCGACCAAATTGCGTCCTCTCCTCCTTCTTCTAAACCAGCAATCACCGTTCTTTGGGTTAACAAAGCAATCTAGAGCTAATGCTACTCTTCTTCTTCTACTACTTGTAACTATAATAGCATCTATCCCAGACACCGGAAGCTTGTTGTGAGATTTTGTCGCGCAAGACGTTCACAATCTCGACAAAGAGTTCGGGTCTCAAGCTAATCAACTAGTTTGGGTCAACCACCTTGAACATTGATTTCAATAGGTGTGGGGCGTAGGCTTGAGATTGGTAGCTCCCACATTGCAAGACACGAGTCAAGCAATCTACGAATCCGCCCTCTCTATTCATGAGACTCTTGAGGCGAGACTATGAGATTTGAAGATGGTAAAGGAAGCTAAGTGCTTCATCATTGGCTGTTGTGAACTCGAGTCCATCCTCCACCAATGTAGAAATGTCACTCTTAACTATTGTGAGCATCAGAAAACCGGCTCACTTACCACTTGGGCTAGAAATAGAGTCGCCACCCATCATTTATGAAATTGGAGGTGATGGGTCCTCCGAGAGTGATTTTCAAAATGCTTTATTTTAATAGTGACTCCAAAACCCAAGGCACCAGTCCAACCAGTCCGGGTAAGACTCAGATGGGAGAGGGCAGGGGTTAGGCACCCCTCTCCCGGGTCCTACAGGTGGGGCCCACATGTAGTTCCAAATAGGGAATGTACCTTATCAACATTTTTTATTGTTTTTATTTTTTACATTTTTTATTTTCATTTTTTAATAGTTTTTTATTTCTTTATAAAACCGTATATTTATTTGTTTATTGTATGGATTTATTATATATTTTTTATCTTAGATTTTTATTTTCATTTTTTGCCTCTTTTTTTATATTTTTTTTTGTAGCTGATTCTTCTTCTTTTCCCATCTCCTGAGCTAGCAACCTAGCTTTTAGGGACCAAACTCATTATTAGGGATTCTTATTTTCTCCTCCTTTTTTTGTGTAATCATATTTTTTTATCCTTTTTTTATTCTTTTGTTTCAACCTCTACAAACGGCACTCTACTCGCGGTTTAACATCATAGACGAGGGATTACATCGATCCCTTCACATCTTACTAATTTTTCTCTGTTTTGTTCATTTGAATTTCCTGCACAAATGTATATCCTATTTATTGAGATGAATTAGAGTGAATGGAAATCTCACACCTACCGTCTTTTCACTTTCTGATTGACATACCACACAACCCAGTCATTGTAATCCTAGAGATTGAACTAGAACATATTTCCAATTTGGACCATTATTTTAGCTAAGTGAAGACAATAAAAAGAACACGCCAAACTAAAGATTAGCAAGAAAGCATGGCAAAATTCTCCTAGCAGATTTGGTAAACAGTATTGGACAAACAGTTAAGAGAAATATTACACCCCAAATTAATCAAACAACTAAACAGAAAAAGCAGGTCCTCGGTTGATCTCAAACAGGGTACATGCGATAGAAATGAACAAGAAGAGAATGGAAACAACGCTTTAATCAAGCAAAACAAACGATGTTAACAAATGGGGCGAAAATATGCAAAAACTTTTCTCATCACCGTCGGCAAGGATTTCACATAGATCGGCTCAGTGAAACTTCATTGCCGTCTCTAATGGCGGATAATCGAATGCTGTTCAGCAGGAGGTGAGAAGAATACAATAAAATAAGATAACAAATAGGAAAGGTGAAATCACAGAGGGTGCGGAGACATACCTGAATCGAGATTTCGCCTGAGAAACAATGCTGTAAGGGACTTTTGATCTGCTTCGGTACTGGATTGTTAACACTTGAATGGTGAGGATTTACTTGGATTACAATGGGATAGCAACTGGAGTGAAGACGACCTTCAATCCCAAGGTTCAGCAACCAATTTACATCGGATTTTCAGATCGGCGCTACGGTATCTTACACAGTTCGAACAACGGAGTTTACAGATGGAAGGAGCTCGACGGATGATTAGGACCGGAAGAGGTTGGGTTTCTGCTAGAATCGAGTGGGGAATGAAAGGGGAGTTGCATCGCTGCTGTTTACTGGATAGAAGACAATGAACAGTGAGGATTTCGGGAGGATTGGAAGAAGAAGAAGAAGAAGAAGAAGAAGAAGAAGAAGAAGAAGAGAAGACGAAAGGAGAAAGAGAGTGGTCGAAAGTGGGAGATCGACTCTGGGTTCGCCGCCGCTGTCGAGAGGAGAGGAGAGGGGAGGTGAATAGTGTCTCCTTGGAGTTCTTCTCCCCGGTCAGGGCGAATGAAGAGTTTGGCTTGAATTTATATGGGAGGTAGGGCCATTTTCGTAATTTCGAGTAATTCGGGAACATTTTCGTAATTTTTGACAAATGAGTCAAACCGGGTTCAGGGGTTGAACCAATGGTGAGTGGTTTCGGGTCAAAAGGCGTAAGGTTGAATGGGTCTAACTGCAAAGAGGGGTCTTGTATCTATGGACTAGCAAGATTGGTCGAAATGGAATGTTTTTAGATGAAAGGGTAAATGATGATATTTTGGTTGAAATTTTACATGATGGGGTTTTCAAACATTCTAAGTTGATTAGCAGGGTTGGATTGGCCCAATTGGGATCGGAATGGGAAGATCGGGAAAGGACTCGATTCGATTAGTCTAAAGTCTCAAAACAAAATCTGGGTACGATGGAGGGGTAAACAAGGGTGCTTTGGGCTAAAATTTTACAAGTGGATGTTTAGGGGTGCCCGGGATTTGATGATGAGGTCTAATCAGTGTTAAAGGGTCAAGATCGTAGAAATTTAGGTCAACAAGATATTTTGGAATGGAATCTTGGTTTGATGGAATGGCAAATGGAGGAATCTGGGGTTAAGACTTTATGGGCATGTATTTTAATGGGTCCTGGGTCAAATGGTTGTGTCTGATCTAACGGTTGAAGTATAAGTGGGGGTCAATCGGGCCCATTGGATAGGTGTCGGGTTTTTTTGTGTTTTTTGGTATTTCGGATGGATCGGAAGGGTCTAATCGGGGATTTGGGGTGAATTGGAGATTCAAACGATAGACTGAGCAAAAATTGGGTGCTAACAACTCTTGACACCAAGAATTGAACTACCCCTACAACTTCCATGCATCTCTTGTTTATATTGCTTTCGGACACCATCAACTTTAGCTTCTAAAGACATCTCATTTGCAACTGTGGCAAAAGCATCATTTAGTATCTTGGCAATCTTGGCCTTATCGACGGGTGACTTCGATGTCAGGAACCATTCAATCCCTTAGAAAGACGTTGAGGGTGCACCATGCTTGGATCAATCGTCAGAGGGTGTGGTTTGGAGTTAAGTCAACATCTGACAAGACTTGTTCAAAATGTTCCTATAAGAGCGGAGACGCATACTGGGAAGCCATTAGAAAGCAAGCAACGGTTATCAAACGTCAGGAACCCATTTTGGCAAGTTTGCTTGTTGGTGATTGCAGCACTCAACCATGTTTAAGAATCAAACCGATGTTCAATAATGGATGCCATGTGTTAACAGAACATTTCGGAGTCATTAACAATGAAATTGTTGAATGTTGTCATGTTTGGTGTTCACTCAAACCAGCTTAAATCTTTCCCTAAAACTATTAAGAATTATAGGTGGGTTATTTCTTCTTCTTCCTCTAGTTTGGGATTGGTCACTTCTTTACTATTACCATTGAGGTTATTTTAAGCAGGGTAAAATTGGAAATTTAGGTTGATCTCTGATTCTGACTTATAATTGAACCAAATAGCAACAATCTCCTAACTAAACCAAACAGACTCCATGAATAGGTGATTCCAATTCCGATTCTAATTGCAGTCCTGTATGCAAACCAAACGGACCCTAAGTCTTCTTCTTCAAACCAGGTATGCTCCAATTTAAAGCTCGACTTTCTTCAGGCTTGCCCACCACAAACTAGTTGAAGAGGGGAGTGGTCTAAAATTGGCCTTGGCAAAGCCTGTTGTTTCAGGTTTTGAAATAGGTCTTCCCACCCCGAGGGGAACCAAATATCTATCAAGCTTTATTAGGACAGGATTATCATGGTTGTTTGTCCACGTAAATTAAGCCCCTGATAAAGGATGGTTTATCAATTCATCTTGATTTACAAAGTTTTCAAATCACCTCTTGTCTCTAACTCCATTTCTACCTCCATTTTTGTCTTCCAAAAATCTAGCAACATTGAAGTCTCCCCCTACGACCCAAGGAATTGTAGAAGACCCTATTGCTTCTAATAAGTCCTCCCAAAGCCTTTCCCTTTCTTCATTTAAAATTGGATCATAAACGTTAGTAAATAAACCCTTCACTCCCCCCTCCCACTCTAATTCAAATGAAATAAATAAATCGCCAGCATGGGAGTCAATCAACTTGCATTTCAATCTATCCCACATGGTAATTAGGCCTCCTACACTTCGTCTAGACGCCTTGCCGATCCATTTAACTTCCCCTTGCCCCTAGATACTTCTGATTGTTTCAGCTTGCATCACTTCCAATTTGGACTCCTAAAAGAAAACTACATCCAACCTCCATCTCTTCAACAAGTCATACACCACCATCCTTCTTCTCCCCAACCCTAAACCCCTCACATTCCAAGACAACTTTTAATTCCATAAAGAAAGATAAGATCCCCCCCCCTTGCCCTAGCCTTCCACTTTTCTCTCCCCCTTTTTCCCCCTCCCCTCCCCTTCCCCACCTTCTCATTCCAAGTTTCCAACCCCAAAAAGTCCCAGCATTTCCTTGTTTTTCTTGATAAAACTCCCCCCTTTTTTAACGTTTAATTTTTCTTTTTCCACCGACAACCTCTTCTCTATCCCCTCTAAGTAGTTAATTGTCTCCTCCTATAAGCCCTATATCGATACCCCCAAAAACTTCCCCAGCCCCAATAATTTTGAAGTCACCCAAGCCGAAGTAGAGTCGACTTTCTTCATTCCCCCATTTTTCTCACCCCTCTCCCCCCCCCCCTCCAAAAAAAAAAAAAACACTTCCTTTCCCCTTTATTGTCCACCCTACCAAACCAAAAAGGAATCACATACCTGGAAATTTGAGGTTTCAACCGATGACTAGAGCTATTTTGTTTTCAAAACATCTCATCATAGCATTATTGCAATTCTTAAAATTTAACTTTTAAGCATTGCTTGCAAGTTATAAGAGCAAACAACTTTCTAATTTTCCTTTTCTCCATTCCTTTTTTCTTTTTTTTTTGTAACATTTATGTTTGGTTAGATTTACAACTTGGTCAATAAGGGGTTATTCAACAGTTTTGCACCTAAGAAGGATAATCTTTCTAAACCCTACATCTAGTAGAAACTTCTAATCCTAAGTGAACCCACAACCTACTTTTGAAGTTGGAATTTCATTGAGGGTCCATGATATCACTATGTTTGAGTCCCCTTCTATCTCCAAGTTCTTAAGGTCTGCTTGCTTGGTAAGTTTTAGCCCCTGTAGCATAGCTAATAGACACCCCTAGCAAGGAAACTCAATGCCTCGTTCACATGGATTAGGAGAACTACAAATGGGAAGGCCGATGTAGTTTTGTAACACTTCGTTGTGTAATGTATGCTTTCCACTTGTTGTAATTCTGTAATTGATTCTCTTAATTGAATAAAATTATTTTTTTTTATTGATAAAAAAATAAAACTCATTAAGGGAAGCCTAACCCTATCCATGAAAATTTTCAAACATCCTAGCTTTTAATTCTTCTTAATTCATGAATGCACAAGAAGGAAGTAAATAAGATAGGTCAATAGGTCATGATTCACTTCAACAATCAAAGCACTTAGAATGGGGAGAAATATGGCTAAGTAACTTAACACATGTCATCTTCATTTGCTCATCTCAATTTAAAACTTAGCTAAATTACAATCATATTTGGAAATTGAGTGAAGCATAAAATTATAAAGATGAATTCAAATCAAATATAACTGGATGCAGCCATCCCTAGTCCATGTTCACACACTAGTGGCTGTCATTCAAGAGCATAAGTTTTAGGCCATGACTAGAGACTAAATCTTCCAAGCAGACATTAAAGAGAGTGAGCTAACCTCAACGCTGAACTCTAAGATCATAATTTAAATTTCGATTATTTTGAAAACTACCCTGTAACTCACTCCAAAGCCTAACACTTTTGACCTTAGCTTCAATACTAGTAGTTCGAATTTAAAGCAAAACTTTGAGTAGGGCATTCAAATTTAGAGAGAAATCTAAGACTTGTTCTACACCATCAAAATTTTACATTGGCTGAAAATTATGCAACTCTTCAAGGACTCCTCTTACATTGTGCTATAGCTACTACCTCATCAACTTCTCATATAGTGCAAGAGAGTTGGTCCCCTTCTCTACAATAAGGTTCAAAGTATTGAAAATGCTAAGTGTATCGAAAAAACAAATTTAAGAGACGTATCGGGATACACCTTGGATACGCATAGAAACGGACGAAAATTCTCCCAATGTGATGTGCTCCATTTAGTTGAGGGGCAACCTATTATTCTTCCTTATGTCGGGGTGTAGGTTGGGTTAGTCAATTTGGGCCAACCTGGCTCTATCCGACTTGTCCCCACATGGCGCTAAGATGTCAGTAAACGGTTTGGATAGGACATGTGTCCTGTCATAATTGGTTAGACAAATCACCCTTCATCATATTTCATTGAGACTTGGGTCCAAACACCATATAGCCTCAAAACAAAATGGTTTAGGTCCATGACACCCTTAACAAACTATTTGAAACAATAGAGGGAGTGTGGTTTGATGATTAGAAGGGAAAATTAATCAAATTACTCTCCAAAAATTCACATCTCCAAGACACATTACTACTAACCCAACCCAAGCACTCTTTTGCATTACTATTTTTCCATGTGAATTGATTATCATTCATCTCCATTTCAATAAGGTTATAGTAGTCTTTTAAATCATTAAAAGCACAAGTTTGACTAAAAAGTACAATTCTCCAAACCAACTTGTTAGAAATGTTTCCAAGGGCACTAAAATCTCCCACTAGACACCAAGCCCCATTGGTGTTGTTAACAATATTTTTAATCTAATTCCACATGACCTGTTGTTTAGATTTATTTGGTGGAGCGTAAACAAATGTGTTAAACCAAAATTTTTTTGTCTCATGATTGGTGAAAATAGAATGAATTAGTCTTTCATTAGACAAAATCACACTGATAGAACATTGACTAGAATCCTAAAGTATCCATAAACCACCAAAAAAACCCCACATAATCAATAACATGATAGCAATAACAAAGAAAAAGATCGAACAAGTTTCTTAGC